GAACAATGAATGAAGTTTACACAACCCAGAAGTATAGACATAAAAGCAGTTTCTTCATACCTTAAAATACTTAAAGCCCAAATGACTGGTCTCATGCAATATTTCACTCAACAGCTTCAGATAGGCAGTGAGTAGCAGAAGGGTGCAAAAAAGATAAACAGAAAAGAAAAAGCATGCAATTAAAAGCAAATTATAGCCCTGGCCGGTTTGGCTCAGTGGTTAGAGCGTCGGCCCGCGGTCCTGAGAGACCTGGGTTCGGTTCCCGCTAAGGGCGCGTACCTCGGTTGCAGTTTGTCCCCGGCCTGGTCGGTTGTGCGGGTGGCAGCCACTCGATGTGTTCCTTTCACATCGATGTTTCTCTCTCTCTCTGTTCCTCTCTCTCCCTCCCACTCTACCTGAACAAAAAATGGAAAAATGTCCTCGGGTGAGGATAAAAAAATTAAAAAAATAATAAAAGCAAATTATATATAACCAGTTTGGGAGATAGTTTCGCAGTTGTTTACAAAGTTAAGTATAGTCTTACCATACAATCCAGCAACCATTTATCTAAATGACTTGAAAATTTATGTCCATACATAATAGGCATAAATGTTTACAGAAGCTTTATTCATAATTTCCAAAAATTGGAAGCAATCAAGACATTCTTCAATAGGTAAAGGAACAAGCAAATTGTGGCACAGCCACACAATGGAATATAATTCAGAGATAAAACGAAATGAGTTCTCAGGCCTCATAAAGACATGGAAGAACCTTAAGTGCAGAGGCTAAATGAGAAAAGCTAGTCTGAAAAGCCTACATACTGTATGATTCCAACTATATGACACTGTGGAAAAGGCAAAACTTTAGAGACAGGAAAAAGATAGAGACTGGGAGTGGGGCGGTGATTAGGTGGAATACTGGTGATTTTTAGGGCAGTGATATTATTCTGTACGATATTGTAATGGTGAATACATGACATTATATATTTGGTAGAACCCACAGAACTGTACAACTCAAAGAGTGAACCAAAATGTAAACTATGAGCTAGTTAATAATGTATCAATATTGGCTCATCAATTTTAACAAATTATCACACCAATGCAAGATGTTAATAACAGGGAAAACTGAGGTGGAGAAAGGAGTACACAGAAACTCTCTGTATTTTCTGCTCAAGTTTTATGTAAATTAAAAAACTGATCTAGAAAAATTATAACCAGTTTACACAACAATAGCTTTAAAAAGAACACATACCAATAGTCTGTAGTCCAAAATGACATGTTCCATTATTAATTGCCAAAATTTCTACATGATCTCTGAGATGTAAGACTTATAACTAACTAATGATTCCCAAAGCAGAAAGAAATCTTTCCAGGAGGAAAAATGGGCGATATTTGGAAAATAAAGGAATGCATAAAAAGGTAAAATCAAGCTAAAAGAAGATTGCTTCTGATTCTGAACAATGGCAGTCACCATTCTGTCTCTGAAGCACTCCACTACCCAAACTCTATTCAACTGTATATCAGAAAATCCTCAAATAGAAAGTGGACTAAGGCATTTATCTGAGGACAGGGCACTTGAAGGACAGTCATTCTGTGAAAAGATCAATTTTCCTTTGGCTTTGCTAATGTCAGTCTGTCTTTCTATACTTGACACTAAAGAAACTATATCCTCATATTTAACAGTTATGAAGGGTTCCCTGGGTTACATACTAAAACATGTCTGCTTTGACATGTACCCTTCTTCCTTGCTGTACAATTACCTTAAGTCATAAAGGCAATGGTGGTCTGATCAAAGAGGTTCTCCCCCAAATTCATGTTACCCTATCAACTGAAGTTTTTACCTGTTTTAATATCTATATTTCTCCAAAACAGAATTGATCACTTAAAAATTAAATGACATGAGTCTCTGTGTGAGGCTAGTTCAAAGCCTCCATACACACTCTTATCATAGGACTTGAGATTAGAGACTTCATTGGTTAAAACCATTTCTTCCATTCACATTTAAGTTATTCTTCCTAATAAAAAGTTAAAAGCGACTTCCGGTCAAGATGGCGGCGTAGGTAAACGCGGTATCGCATCTTCCCACAACCACATCAAAGTTACAACTAAACTACAGAACAACCATCATTCAAAACCGCCTGAAATCAAGCTGAATGGAAGTCCTACAACTACGGAATTAAAGTAACAGCCACACCGAAACTGGTAGGAGGGGCGGAGGTGGACGGGCTGGTCCCACACCCACGTGTGGCGGATAAAAATCTGGAGGGCACCACGGCTAGGAAGGTCCTCCCTAAGGACTGAGGGGTCCCCATCCCACACCAGGCACCCCGCTCAGGATTCCAGTGCCAGGAAGAGAATCCCCATAACTTCTGGCTGGAAAAACCAGCAGGAACTGAGGCTCAGGGAAGCGGATGTGGCTGGAGCCCCAGGCAGCTCCTCTTAAAGGGCCCGCGCATGGACTTATCGGACTCTCTCCCTCTAAGCTTGGAAGGGAGGCAGCTCGAGGGGCACCAGAGACATACAGGGAAGAACTGAGCTTTTTGGCATTGGAGCGAGGGCTGGAGAGGGGGCTTTCTCGGGGACAAACATGTTGTCAGAGGTCTTTGTTCCTTTGGTGAGCCCTTCCCTGGGGCGGCAGACAGCCTTCCTATCTGGGACTCCACACTGGTAGCCCTGCCCTGGTGATTCCCTGAGGCCCCGCCCCGCCCCACCCCACCCAACTTTCAGGCCCACCCAAGCTGTTGCCAGTTGCTTAACCATAGGATTGGCCTATCTTGGATCCTGCTTCAGGTTTTCCTAAATTCTTTCAAACAAGCAGCGTCTGGTCTCAGATAGCCCCATACCTCCCGTTAAGTAATACACAGAAACAAACACAGAGAGGCAGCCAAAATGAGGAGACAAAGAAACAGGTCCCAAATGAAAGAACAGAACAAAACCGCAAGAAAAGAACTAAGCGAAATGGAGATAAGCAACCTAACAGATGCTGAGTTCAAAATACTGCTTATAAGGATGCTCAGTGAACTTAGTGAGAACCTCAGTAAGCTTAGTGAAGGCCTCAAGAGCATAAAGAAGGACCAGTCAGAAATGAAGGATGCAGTCAGAAATAAAGGAGGCACTAACTGAAATAAAGAATAACTTACACAGATTCAATAGTAGAGTACATAAACCCAAGAAGCAAACCATTGATTTGGAATATGAGGAAGCAAAAAACGCCCAATCAGAACAGCAAAAAGAAAAAAGAATCCAAAAACATGAGGATAGTGTAAGGAGCCTCTGGGACAACTTCAAGCGTGCCAACATTCACATCTTGGGGGTGCCAGAAGGAGAAGAGAGAGAACAAGAATTTGAAAACCTGTTTGAAATAATAATGGCAGAAAACTTTCCTAACTTGGTGGAGGAAACAGACATACAAGTCCAGGAAGCACAGAGGGTCCCAAATAAGATGAACCCCAAGAGGCCCACACCAAGACACATCATCATCAAAATGCAAAAGGTTCAAGACAAAGAGAGAATCTTAAAAGCAGCAAGAGAAAAGCAGTTAGTTACCTACAAGGGAGTTCCCATAAGGCTGCCAGCTGATTTCTCAAAAGAAACGTTGCAGGCCAGAAGGGAGTGGCAAGAAATATTCAGAGTGATGAAAAGCAAGAACCTACAACCAAGATTACTCTATCCTGCAAAGCTGTCATTTAGAATCGATGGCCATATAAAGACTTTCCCAGACAAGAAAATGTTAAAGGAGTTCATCACCACCAAACCATTATATGAAATGATGAAGGATCTTTTTTGAAGAAAAAGATAAAATATATGAACAAACAAAATGGCAATAAATACATATCTATTGACAATGGAATCTACAAACAAAATGAACAGGCAGAACAGAAACATTCTCACGGATACAGAGAACATTTTGTTGGTTGCCAGATGGAAGGAGGGTTGGGGGAATGGGTGAACAAGGTGAAGGGATTAAGAAGTACAAATTCATTGCTAGACTGACAAACCTCAAAGGAAAAGGGGTTGGGAGGTGGGAAGAAATAAAGCAAAGAACTTATATGCATAACAAATGGACACACATAACAGTGTGGGAAAAGGGAGGGGGGCGGGAGTGACGAGGAGGGGATCAATGGGGGAAAAATGAGGAACTTCTATAATACATTTAACAATAAAGATTAAAAAAAAAAAAAAAGTTAAAAGCAAGGGTATGAGGATCTAAAAAGGTATAGAAAAATACATTTTAAAAACCAGCAGCAGAACTCTTTAACAGGTCACCTTGAGAGAAATGCTCATGTGGGACTCTCATGTGTCACAATATGTCTATCTTTCATACTTGTTCTTAACCTTAACTTCTTATATCTTGAACTGCTCTTTTGAACAAGGCCAGGGTATAAAATAAATCAACTATTTGCTATTTAAAATTAACATCTTTAACTCAGAAATTCTTGTGTTTTTCCATTCAATTTAAAAGCAGGGTTGTGCCCAGTCTTGTAACAGACAAGTTCAATGGCATTACTTTTTTTTTTTTATCCTCACCTGAGGACATTTTTCCAATTTTTGTACAGATAGAGTGGGAGGGAGAGAGAGGGAGAGAGAGAGAGAGAGAAACATCGACGTGAAAGGGACACATCGAGTGGCTGCCACCCGCACGACTAACCAGGGCCGGGGACAAACTGCAACCGAAGTACGTGCCCTTAGCGAGAACTGAACCCAGGTCTCTCCGGACCGCAGGCCGATGCTCTAACCACTGAGCCAAACTGGCCAGGGCGGCATTTCATCAGATATATGAGCATATACTACATACATTTATCTGAAATCAGTCCCAAATTATTAATGCAGAGACCACTGCATTAACAAGTCAATTCTTATACAGCTATATTTCAATTCTCATTTAAGTCAAAGTACTCACACTTGATGAGTGTTTTTAAAACTGTATAGGCATACTTTATGTAGTTTCCTTAGACTACACTGCTTGGGTTTTACCTTTTGTTTAACCAGCTGCATTGCCAGTAATTGTATAAAATCGCAGACCTGTTTTTCAGCATTGGTCCTGGCTGATTCCTCTTGTGCTAGCACCATTTCTCGCTCTGCAGTTATCTGTACACTCTCTCTTAGTGCTTCTTCCAGCTCTTCAATTCTGTCATCCTTCTTACGGAGATTGTCCTGGAAAACGATGGAAGACTCGGTGAAGTAGACTAATTAGTTAACCCAAGGAGAGCCTATTTACTAATAAGGGCTATTTGTTTATTATAGGTTCTTCCCTTCAGAAGTAAATCCAGGCCAAAAAGATAGCATCATAGAAGAAAAAATAAAACAAGACAAGAAAGAAGTAAAGGAGGCTGAATAAGTATGTTATTAAGAGTAAAGGGTCAAGTTATTAAGCAAGAGAAACATGTGATGGACTTGTTCTCGCTAAGAGAGTGAATACAATTGTTTGCACAAGGCAGTACAGGTAGCAAGGGCATGATTATTTAGAAACACAAAGCTATTTTTGAACTACTCTCTAAACTGGCTTAAAGCCAGCTCTGATGAAGCTGAAGTAATAAGACTCAATGCCAAAGCATTCTCCTTCCCTGAAAAGTTAAGCCTAGATGAAAAAGTTAAGTAAACAGCATGATCTTTCAGATTATATTCCTCATATAGACAATTATTGGCAAACTAATTTTTAAAAAGAGAAATGAAAAAGTTTTCCTAATGAATTCAAGAAAGCAAAGTTTTCTCTTAATCTTATAAGAACAAACTGGGAAAAACAAAAAACAAAGGAGAAAAACCTGACACAAATGACTGGTCTGGCTAAGAATGAGTAAGTTAGTTAGCCAACCAAAATCTATTGCCCTAATACTCTAAACAAGTTTGAAAAGTAAATTTTGGGGAGGTAACTATAAATTTCTATCAGAAAGACAAGCAAAATCCTACAGGACTTTAACAGATCATGTAAGATAAGGGACCTTAGAATAAGAAGAATAAATTAGCAGTTTTCAAGTAGAATGAAAAACTTTACCCAAGAGGTTATTATAAGCATTTCCTCTTTAGATTCCTATAGAACCAGAAGATTAAGAATAACGTTCTATTTTATATTAACATATGAAACATAAGAACAAGATTTGCTAAACAATTTTCTAACTTTCACAATGCTCATATATAAGACATCAAAGGATTTTGACTTTTATCTATGCAATTCTCATTTAATTATACTGTAATTCACTTTTATAAGTACAAGGTATAAAAAAGTCCTTCGTAACAACTTTGTCCTCAGAAATCTAGAACTTGAAGTCTGTCTGATTTTGAAATGTCAGATTTTTCTTCCAACTTTTAAAGGAATGGCATCTATATTTAACAACCTTCCTAATAAAGCGTCCATAAATCTTTTGTTCTCTTAATTTTTCTCAATTTAAAAACAAATGATAGCCCAGCCAGTGTGGCTCAGTGGTTGAGCATAGACCCATGCACCAAGAAGTCGCTGGTTCGATTCCCCGTCAGGGCACATGCTCAGGTTGTGGGCCAGATCCAAAGTACGGGGCATGTAGGAGGTGGCCAATCGATGTTCTCTCTCATTGACGTTTCCTACTCTCTCTATTTCTCCCTTCCTCTCTCTCTAAAATCAATAAAGAAAAAATATTTTAAAAAATAAAATAAAAAATAAAAACAAATGATAGAAAAAAGAATATTCACATTTCAGTGATGTATGTTATGTTCGTGGTGTTTTTTTTTTTTTTTTAAGTTTTCATTCTTCTCAGAGATGTCATATAAAATACTTTGATTTAGTCCCATAAGTATATATGCAGATATATTCTGATATATTTTCTGATAAAGCTAAACATTCTGTTTTATGCAGAGCATTTAGCTATATCAGAAAATGCTCTATGTTGAAACCTTAATTCTTCCAATTTGCTTGCCATGGACATCAGAATACAGTGAGGATTTCTAAAATGATGCCAAGCAGAGAGAGACAAGGAGCAATGTCAGTAAAAACAAAGTCCAAAGTTATTTCTATTGATTCAAAGAAAATAAAAGGTAACAGAAGGACTATGTCAAAAGAGGTAAATGCAATGATCAGTTCATTCAGTCCTCTCAAATCTTCTGTACAATAACTGTATTGTAGTAATGTGGGATTCTGAATTACAACTGCTGGAAACAAAAAGAAACACTAGTGTTTCCATTATCAGCTTGTGACTAACTCAGTATTATGTTTTTGTCCAGTCTATATCCTTCACTTTCAAATTACCTTTTATAGATCTCCTAAGAAGCTTCTGCTATCCTAATCTCAATTGAGGCTGAAAAAGTTATTCCAAATAAATTCCCAGGAACTAATTTCAAGCAAATGGGTTTACCTGCACTTCTGCAATATACATTTTTTTTAGAGAGAGGATGATTAGTAATTTGTCATAATGCAGAGTCAGTGCAAGTTTTCATATTGAAAGGTTCCTCAAAATCTGTGGTAAAATCTGTCTATACCAGATGAGCTCAGTGGGCAAGGCCCTTTACTTAAGGAAAAGTCTTCTGGACTTAATGGCAGAGCCTGGTTCAAAATCTTTCTCCATTGTAAGGTTGAAGAATAAAAGCCAAGTGAAATCACAAATAAAATGAAAAGAAGAAGACTGTTAAATAATATTTGTGATATTACAAGTTGTATAACATCTCAATGTAAAACTATATTTGGAACCACCTGCTCTAAAGAAACCATATTAAACCAGGGCAGTAGCAAGAGAATGAAGACAGTAAATACCGGCATCACCTTCATCAACAGGCCACAACTACTTAATCCATCTAGTGAGTAAAATTTGTCTCCAGTTTTATTTTCAGAATTTTAATAGATATCTGCTAAGGTAAACCAAGGAAGTTTCCTTTGTACTGAACTACACCCTGAATCTATTTCATTTAAATAGCTTCACTTTAATATTAAGTTAATGCCAGAAATAAACAGAACCTTTTAGTTCTTCAAATACTGCAGCCCTAAATACACTGCTGGGTCATATTTATAATTATTCTTTCTTTTTAAATCCTCACCCGAGGACATTTTTCCATTTTTTGTTCAGATAGAGCGGGAGGGAGAGAGAGGAAGAGAGAGCGAGAGAAACATCGATGTGAAGGGACACATCGAGTGGCTGCCACCCGCACGACCAACCAGGGCCGGGGACAAACTGCAACCGAGGTACGTGCCCTTAGTGGGAACCGAACCTGGTTCTCTCTGTACCGCAGGCCGACGCTCCAACCACTGAGCCAAACCGGCCAGGGCTAATTATTCTTTCTTGTCCTCACTTTTCATGAAGATTAAATGCATTTTTTTGTACTTAGATTATATGTACTCTATTTTTTCCTAAGTGTAGAATACTAGAGAAAAGAAAAGATCTTAAAAAGTTTTAGAAAGACCCAAATTGATCACCCCAAAAGAATGAAAACTTGGAAGGCACTGAAATTTTTAAGGGCAAAGCAGTAAACTAAAAGACAATTGAAATAATGCTTTCAAAACTCTGAAGGAAAAATAATTTCTGATCTAGAATTCTTTCTTCAAATTATCAATCAAATGTGAGGATAGAATGCAAAGTCTGAAAAAATTTACATCACATTACAAACTTAGAAAGCTACTAGGATATGAGCTAACAAACTGAAGAACCTACAAAGAGGAAGACATGGATCAGGACAAAAGGGGATATACCACAAGTGGGTGGTGAAGGGATCCCTGAGGGTGGTAATAAGCCTACAGAAAAAGTACAGTTTAAAGTAGAGAATGGAAAGTCAAGGAAAGATGTTTCCCAAAATAAGTGAATGTACAGTTTACCTGAGTTAATTAATAATTGGGACAATATATTTTGCAGTAGTAACAATATTGGGAGGAATTACCTATAGCTCGAGAAAGAAAACTAGGAATAAACCAATGATATCTATACAAATAACAAATAAAACAAACAAAAAACCCAAAGCAATTATTACCACCAGGAAAAACTAAATGTAAAACTGGATATTACTGTATTAGAAAGATGGAAAGAGGGAAATGTGTGTGATGGCTCGTATAAAAGAGCTAATTCGTCATCGTTCATAACAAGAAGTTAATAGATAACTAATATCAAATAAGAAAAATAATAAAACAATATAAAAATGTCATTTGAAAAGGTGGCCGTAAACAGCAGAATAAACAACCAACAGCGATACCATTGGTTGTCTCAGGAGAGCAGGAATCAAGGTTAGATAAGAATGAGGTAGACGACTATTATTTATTATATGCCATGTAGTATTTATTATTTCACTTTGTACATGATATAAATATATATTGTTCTGAAAAAAAATGTTAAAACACTGCAAATTAGTGGGAATATAAAGAACTTCTGGAAATAATTAAACGTGGTGACTGTTTCAGAAACTGATACTCTAAACATATGAGTTAACTATTAACTGTGGAAAGAGAAAAGTAGACTGGGCAAACATATCTCAAGACAGTGCTTATGGCAAAAAAAAAAAAAATGTTTAAGAGAAAAAAACACGTATAAGCTGTAAGTCATTGTGCTCTTGTTTTTTTTGTTTATTAAAAAATCCTGTGCATTTCTTCATGCTAATAATTTGAGTGAGTGAGTCAAAATTATAAGAAATTCCTTCCCAGTCTTTAGGTAACCATGGAATATTCCAAATAACATTTTTTAGAGGACAAGATAATGCAGTCAGTTCTGCTATTATTCTGAATATTCTGAAGATACCGAACGTATAAATATCCCAATAGCAAATGTCCCAAAAGCTAAGAGCTTTCAAAATTGTTCCCTATACCCTTTTCTGTGCAAATAGTCCTCTCCCACCCCATCCCCCCATTTTGTTTTGTTTGTTTGTTCGTTTTCTTTATCATACCTAAAAAAATTGCAGTGAGTAGATTTTGGTGATAGAATCTGACATGAATTTCTAGTGACAAAACTGTTCATCTACACTATACTTAATGGTGTATTTTGGTTTAAAAGAAAAGAAAAATCTGTAATCTGTTCAATGCCTGAACTCTGAGTAGAAGTGAGTTATCACCAGCTTCTCTGAATATGTATGAGCCAACAAAATATCAGCTGGTAAAATACTGGACTTCAGAAACTGTGAAACAATAGAGTTGGCTTACTTCTGCTCTCAGGCTGGCTCAAGGAAGTACAGGACGTGCTGAAACCCCTGGGAAGAGCTTCTATACCAGGTAAAGC